TTGCTGTCCCCAAATCTATTGAGCCAGGGGCTTGTAGCCTTCCCAAAGGGGAACATAGTGGACGCATGGCTAGCGGGGACTGAAAAGGGAAGCCCAAGCAGCTGGATATCAACCCCCATTTATAGCAATACCTCTGTGGGGTATGTGAGAGAGCAAAAGCTCACAATATTATGGGGAGCACTGAAGAGGGCCTAAGCCCCAAGCAGGATGAGTCAAGAGGATTCTGGCTCCTGAGCACTGTAAGCAGATGCCAAAGAGGCATCTCTGGCCCCTTCATGAGGTGGGCCTGCGGTGCCAGGAAGCCAAGCCCACCAGGTGGCAGCAGAGAACCAGTCAGTGGCCAGAGAGGTCTAACAGGTACAAATCCCAACCCTGGGGCTGGTGTGGGGGCCAGGGTAGGGGCCGTGCCATCTGAGCTGCCTCACAGTAACAGTTCACACTTTTGTTGCTAGGCATATTCTGTGCTGGGTGCTGTACCAAGCACTTCCAACAGGATCTCATTTAACTCTGACCATGAACCTATGAAGCAGATGCTGCTATTACCCCTTTCATTTCAGATGCATGCACTGGGGCTTTCAGAGGTTTGCGAGTTGCCCAAGGTCACACACACTGAAGAGATGAAGTGCAGGTGGTTTAGACTCTACAGCTCCTGCTGTTAATTTGGGACTATATTGCCAGGGGAGAAAAGGAAGCCACTTGAAGTGTTGAAAGTGAAGGCAGGTAGGGCCTGACTTGGGCTGGCTCTGGTGTGGACTCTGAGGCCCGAGGCCAGCTCATGAACAGACACTAAAAGCCTAGTTAAAGGGACCTTCTAGGGGGCTTCCAGGAAACAGGATGTGGTAGGATTTTCAAGTTGAGGTGCCCAGGGAACCCCTATTTGAAGAAGTGAGAGCCAGGTTATCCTGTTCACATAACCCCAAAAGGGCTGGGCACCTCAGAAGCTGCAAACCACTCGAAGACCCAAACGGATGCCTGTGAAAGAGATGGTCAGGTCTCCCTCGTTGAGCTCATAAAGCAAACAAGGGCCAGGTGTGGTGGCTCACACCTGTAATCCCAGCACTTTGGGAGGCAGAGGTGGGCGGACCACTTGAGGTCAGGAGTTTGAGACCAGCCGGCCAACATAGCAAAATCCTGTCTCTACCAAAAATACAAAAACTAGCTGGGTGTGGTGATGCGTACCTGTGGTCCCAGCTACTTAGGAGGCTGAGGCAGGAGAATCGCCTGAACCCAGCAGGTAGAGATTGCGGTGAGCCGAGATCACACCACTGCACTCCTGCCTGGGCAACAGAACGAGACTGTCCCCCAACCCACCCACCAAAAAACAAACAAAAACCTCAAAGAAGCTCGAGAGCATGTTCCCAGACTGGCCATTGTGTGCCCAACGTGCTGAGTCTGGTCCTGTAGCATCCTCTGGGGGAGGGGATGATGCCAGCTGCCTGTCATCTCCACCCTGGAAGAATGCGAGGGCACACTCAATCCCCAAGTCAGCTCACATCACCAGAGAACTTGAATGAGACCTGGGAACGTCACCTTGCCCTGAGATCCAGGTCAGTACTCCCTCCTCTGTGGTCTTGCCACCAGTCATCCATGGGCCAGGCTATTGTAGAACCTAGTGAGTGCAATGGACTTCAGCTCAGAACTTCATCCCTCTTTGTAGACTAGTACTCACCACTAGGACTTTCTGGGATTTTCAGGCATAACCCTGAAATTCAGGATGAACTTGCTCTCCCCAAATCTATTGACATCAGGGGCTTATATCCTTCCCAATTTTTGTGCAAAATTCCCTGAGACAGCCTCCGCTCTGGGAACCCAGTCTAAGTCATGCTCTATTGTTCTGCCTCAAGATCTCCAACTGGTTGTTCTCTCCTTCTGAAATGCTCTCTCTCCATCTTTTCATGGCTGACTCCTTCTTACCATTTAGGTCTCAGTTTAAATTGTCCCTCCTTTACAGACAGGCTCTCCCTGCTTTGCCTAATAAAGATCAACCCTGCTGTGTTTTCTTTCTCCCTTACCATTTTCAGAGGTGACTATCCAGTATCCAATGGGTTGGTACTGCCCTTACACAGGATAGCCTTTGTTCATAGCTCACAATGGAAAACAGAAAAATCATAGGATCTGAAAGGAATGGGTCCTCAGGTGTTATGGGGAAGGGGACCTTAGTGGTCATTTAATCTAAATCTTGAGCTGCTACGACAGTCATATTCAGGTGGTTTTTTTTTTTTCTTTGTTTTGTTTGGTCACAATGGCTATGGAGAGCTGGTGAGCAAAGGTGACTGTTGTGTCCCACTGAAATGCTTCTGGGCTATCCAAGGTAGATCATGATGTTAAGTAGAATCAGCTATGGGGTCAACTATTAGGTGAGTGCAAAAGTAACTGTGGTTTTTGCACTGTCGGACTTTGCTATTTGATATTAAATACATTCTTAAATGTGGTTATGTTATATATCATTTTAATGAGAATTTCCTGCTTTATGTATTTTTGCTAATGACTTATTACTTGCTCTTTGTTGTATGTTTATTTTAGGCTATGGAAATGATGTTAGACAAAAAGCAAATTCGAGTGATTTTCTTTTTTTTTTTTTTTTTTTTTGAGACGGAGTCTTGCTCTGTCACCCAGGCTGGAGTGCAGTGGCTGGATCTCAGCTCACTGCAAGCTCCGCCTCCCGGGTTTACGCCATTCTCCTGCCTCAGCCTCCCGAGTATCTGGGACTACAGGCGCCCGCCACCTCGCCCGGCTAGTTTTTTTGTATTTTTTAGTAGAGACGGGGTTTCACCGTGTTAGCCGGGATCGTCTCTCGATCTCCTGGCCTCGTGATCCGCCCGTCTCGGCCTCCCAAAGTGCTGGGATTACAGGCTTGAGCCACCGCGCCCGGCCTCGAGTGATTTTCTTATTCGAGTTCAAAATGAGTCGGAAAGCAGCAGAGACAACTTGCAACATCGACAACGCATTTGGCCCAGGAACTGCTAACAAATGTACAGTGCAGTAGTGGTTCAAGACGTTTTGCAAAGGAGACAAGAGCCTAGAAGATGAGGAGCATAGTGGCTGGCCATTGGAAGTTGACAACGACCAGCTGAGAGCAATCATCGAAGTTGATCCTCTTTCAACTAAACGAGAAGTTGCCGAAGAACTTAACGTCAATCATTCTACAGTTGTTCAGCATTTGAAGCAAATTGGAAAGGTGAAAAAGCTCATTTAGTGGGTGCTTCATGAGATGAGGGAAAATTTTAAAAATGGTCTTTTTGAAATGTCTTCTCTTATTCTACACAACAACAAGGAATAATTTCTCAATCGAATTGTGATGCACAATGAAAAGTGGATTTTATATAACTGGCAATGACCAGCTCAGTGGCTAGTCCGAGAAGAAGCTGCAAAGAACTTCCCAAAGCCAAACTTGCACTGAGAAAAGGTCATGGTCACTGTTTGGTGGTCTACTGCTGGTCTGATCTGCTACAGATTTCTGAATCCTGGTGAAACCATTACATCTGAGAAGTATGCTCAGCAAATCAATGAGTTGCACCGAAAAGTGCAACACCTGCAGCCGGCTTTCGTCAACAGAAAAAGCCCAATTCTCCATGACAACACCTGACTACATGACACACAGCCAATGCTTCAAAAGTTGAACAAATTGGACTATGAACTTTTGTCTCATCTGCCATATTCACCGGACCTCTCATCAACCGACTACCACTTCTTCAAGCATCTTAACAACTTTTTGCAGTGAAAATGCTTCCACAACCAGCAAGGTGCAGAAAATGTTTTCTAAGAGTTCATCAAATCCTGAAGCATGAATGTGTATGCTACAGGAATGAACAAATTTATTTCTCATTGGCAAAAATGTCTTCATTGTAATGGTTCCATTTTGATTAATAAAGATGTATTTGAGGCTGGGTGCGGTGGCTTATACCTCTAATCCCAGCACTTTGGGAGGCTGAGGCAGGTGGATCATGAGGTCAGGAGATCAAGACCATCCTGGCCAACATGGTGAAACCCCGTCTCTACTAAAAATACAAAAATTTGCCAGGCGTGGTGGCATACATCTGTGGTCCCAACTACTCAGGAGGCTGAGGCAGGAGAATTGCTTGAACCTGGGAAGTGGAGGTTGCAGTTAGCTGAGACCCCACCACTGCACTCCAGCCTGGGCGACAAAGCGAGACTCAATCTCAATAAATAAATAAATAAATAAATAAATAAATAAATGTGTTTGAGCCTAGTTATAATGATTTAAAATTCATGATCCGAAACCACAATTACTTTTGCACCAACCTAAGAGATGTCTAAGTAGGTCATATTCCACCTGCAAAGAGAAAATTCCATCTATCCCTTGCAGATGCATGGAAACTCACTGTCTCCAGTGGACAGTTAACTCCAAGGGCATCACAGAGAACTCATGGAGCTCAGCTGAGGAGGTTTCAGGGATTTTTCTATTTCCTTTTCTTCATCATGAGAGTCTGGTACTAGATGCTCTCCAGACCTGAGCCTAAAGACTCTTCAATCCTTTGAGATGAAGATGAGGGAGGGAATAGGAAACCCAGTTTAGTTTGGATTTCAGATCCTTTTGTGGTTCATACGTGTGATGATTAGGTTTCCATGTTCATGTGTGAGATCTGCCTCCCTCAAACAGTGTTACAATGACATGGGCGCCTTACCTAGCTGACATGAAAAAAGCAAATGTGGATTTCAGACAAACAAAAAATAACTTTTTTAGTTTATGTCCCATAGAATATGTGGACATATTTATCCTAAAAATATTGTATGGGACATAGTTGTATTAAGAAACTGTTCATTGTTTATCTGAAGTTCAAATTTAACTGGGTATCCTTTATTTTATGTGATGTGGCAGTCTTATGGAGGAGGGGCCAACATTTAAAATAAATGGCTTCCCTAGGATAGAGCACTGGGACTGGGGAAAACAGAGGCCGCAGTCAGCTGTGACTTTTTGAAGGAAGGAATGAAGTTGGTTTCTTTCATGCCAATTAAGCAATTACAGACGACCCTGTCAGAAATCTAAACCTGTGACTATCATGGGACTCAAGACCAGGAAAAAAAATAAGTCAAAAAGATTAAGAGCCAGAGAAGCAGTCTTCACACATGCGGCCAGCCAGCGGACGGAGTACTCTCTCATTCAGGAAGGTAAGAGCATTGCCCTCTTGCTATAATCATAGTCCTTTTCTCCTTTTCTCCCAGAATAGGATTTGGGAAATTCTGGTGAAGTCCTCTGCCTACCCTCATTGCCCCACTGATGTGTGACGTCAACAGAATTTCTCTGCAACGTTTGTCAGTCTCCAACTTCAGAGGGCTCACAAAGTCTCCTCCTGAATCCTCTCTCAGTCCTCTAAGACTACCAAGAAGAAAAGCAATTATTCAGGATGGCAGCTTGCCGGGGAGAAGCAGCCTCCCTGAGGTAGATGTGTTCTCCTGTCACTTAAAGAACCACTTCTTCCGGTCTGAGTAGTAAGAGGCGCGTTTGCTGTTGCTAAACCATTTGCCAAGGTTCTGAGCTTGAGGTATGGGATGTATGAAAACAATTTAATGAAGAATTAAGTTTCCATTCTGTCATTTTGAACACAGGGTTCACTCCTATATTATTCACTTGAGACGATCAGTGAGTTTGACTTTAATTTCTTTTTTTACAACTGGGAAGGGTAAATTACACATAAAATGTCCCAGTGGAAAGGGGTCATGTGGTGAAATCCCCACTCTTCTCTCCCACCCCTCCCTGCTGTTTTAAACTGGAGCTCATTAATATAATTCTATGGGGATCAGACCTTTGAAATTCCTGAGAACAGTAAGAGAGCAGAAAAATACACAATAACAAGGAAAGGAGCTTCCATTATTGGTTTTTAATGAGCATACTTGAATTACGGCCACTGCAGTTTATGGACAGTTTTTGTTGTTGTTCATTTGTATATGTTCTAGTTAAAAAAAAAATGCTAGCCAAGGGACTTGAATCAGAGAGAAGCAGAAATTGACTTAAGTAGAAAGGGAAACACATTGTTAGATAAAGTCAGGTCCTGGGCTTCCTCAGCTTGTTTTGGGTGGAGTGCCTGGTGACAAGCTGAAGCCCCTGTGTGGGGTGGTTTCCTTTGCTGAAAAGCTGGGCTGGAAGATGCTGTGCTCAGCGTTCAACCTCATGCACCCTCGCAAGGCACAGGCAACAGGTGCTCTGGGAAACATACATTATGTATCATAGCCTCTGTCTGTCTGTGGACTGATATCCAATAATAACTTTGGAGAAAAATAACTCCTCTTATTTTATTAGCCACAGCCCTGGGCCAGGGAAGGTGGAGAATCAGTAAAAATGCATTGTTTGTTTGTTTCTCTAGAAGTTTATGGTGCAGAGTCAAATTGAAGGCACATGAAGAACATTTTTTTCACCAAATAATAACTGAGTCTTTTTGCTTTCATTTGTAGTTTCTTCTTTGAACTTTAGTTAGTAGGAGGGGTTAGAAACCTGAGCTATTGTCAAAGCCCTTGATATCAATGAAAGAAGCAGGTGCAAATCTCCTCACAGAGAGAAACCAAAGGGTCCTGACTGTGGATATTGGTCATCTAGTAAGGATGCTGTTGTGGGTCTTTATGAGACGATGAACAGGGTGGCTTTGGATGCATTAATGATGCCCACATGCTTCTTCTGTTAGGTGTCCTGTGCCCTGACCCTACAAGATGCCAAGAGAAGATGCTCACTTCATCTATGGTTACCCCAAGAAGGGGCACGGCCACTCTTACATCACAGCTGAAGAGTAAGTTCAAAACCAGACCCAGCAGGGCTTCCAGTTTGCCATTTGCTGACACAGCCTGCTGACTTCCACCAGCACATGCCTGCTCATAAATCTCCCTAGTGTTTATCTCCCCAGACAGTAACATCCCTGGCAACAAGGGGAGGAGATTCTGTGCTTCTACAAGGGGCTCAGTCAAGCTTCTCTGAGGCCAAATAGGCAGGAAGATGGGAATGGTATAAGGTTGGATCTTGCCATTTTTGGGTGCACTTTGACTATTGGGCCTTATCTGTAGGTTCCCAAGTGGAAAAACATCTGTTCAGAGTCACAATGCCTCTTTCCTCAATCCTTGTTCTGTCTCCTCCACTCAAGCTCCTGAAGGTGGTTTGCAGACAGAATAAAAGTGAGTTGCCAAGGAGCCAGTGAGGATGATGGGCAGGTGCATGTGACTCAGCCCACAGCCAGACTCGAGAGGAAGACTGAAGTCACAGCCTTTGCAGCATAACTTTATCCTAAGGAAAGGTGTTGGATATTATGAGTGAATTAAAAATAACTATTTATATGATTAAGCATTTCTAAATGCTAAGCATTATATACTGGCCTGAGATACTGTTTTTATCTTTGAAAAAACTCACAACCTAGTGGGAGAGTTAGGCATGAGATTAATTTCAGCAAATATAAGTGTGGTGATGAAAACCCAGAGGCTGCAGGGACATACTCTGTACGTGCTGGGAGTGGGAAAGGGACATACTCTGTACGTGCTGGGAGTGGGAAAGGGACATACTCTGTACGTGCTGGGAGTGGGAAAGGGACATACTCTGTACGTGCTGGGCGGCGGGGGCAGGGGAGGCCCCACCCTCTGTGTGGGACTCCAACAGGACAATACCCTCTTACGTGGTCTGTCCAGAACTCCCTGCGAACCTGCTCTTTCTTTGGAAAGAGCTGTTGAACCATCTTTAACAGTCAACCGCAGGGACCAGCAAGATGTAAGACCCAACAAAGGTACTGAGGAAGAATTCGGCATTTCCTCAGAAGACCCTGGTATAGGATCCTCTAATATCCCTGGCCAGTTGGAGTTGAGGGCAGTGGTATCTTCTCAGAAAATGTCCTGAGAGCAAAAATATACTCTTTAAGGGAGGGGAGCCCATTGGCCATGGTATTAGTTAATCGTTTCAGCTTCCGTATAATCACTCAACAGACTCTTCTTTAAAATAAAGTTTTATGTCTCGTGTAAAAATTCAAGAGTAAAGAGTTCAAGGCCTGTTCCTTTTCTTCTTGCTGGTTACTCCCCTGGGATGTCGCTTTTGTCTCCATGGCTGAAGATGTTGTGCCATCACTTCCACATCTTGCCAACAGAAAGCAGGAGGTGAAGGACAGGCTAGGACCATTCCTTTCAAGGGACACACGTCACTTCTGCTTATTGCTCCACCCCCGCCCACCCCCTCCCCCGTGGCACCTGTGTGTATCATTCTTGCTGTGTTGTAAATGAAGAAAGGTTTAGAGAAATTAGGAAATGTGTGGCCAGACATGGTGGCACTGGGATTTAAATCCAGGTCTGCTTGCCCCCAGAGTCCATGCTCTTAAGTGTTATGCTGCAGGCCAGCAGAGGCAAATATTTGCACAATCCCATCCAACAAGAGGCTAGGGCAGAGGTCAGTATTTCTCAGTGTGAAGCTGGAGGCTGATGCTTGTCAGCTCAGTAGGCTGAAAGCGGAGTTGTCCTTTGCCATGTAGGGCCATCACGCCCAGCTGGGGAACCTCATAGCCAGGTGTACCCACAACCTGAACAAGGTAACTTTCAGGTTCTAGTCAGGAAGAAACCAACCAGGTGGTTCAACATACAGACTTTAATATAAGAAGCTGGTTAAACAGGCATGGGACTGAGACTGAGGAGGCAAAGAAGGCACAGGGGTAACCAAGGCTGTACCCACAGAATGCTGCTTCTACCCCTATGTCTAGGGGAACAAAGGGAAGGGTGAGGCCATCAGGACCTAGAATTGGGAGGAGGGAACCCACAGAAATGGGACCCAGATCTCTAAGGAGAGATTTCTGTTTGGCTGGTTCTGGTGTCTCCGGAGCTTAGAAGTGAGGGGCATGAATCAAATACTCATGCCTCTGAGGTGGGAGCACTGGTCAGCCAGTGCTCTGCTGGGGAGGGGCATAATGAAGCTGGCTCTGAGAATGCCAGAAAACGAGCTGGTGCTTGGCATGTACAGACAATGTCAGCATTGCTGGGGTGATGATGACGGGAGCAGGAAGCACACTGGAAGGAGCTGCTCCTTCCTGACCTCCTAGGTTTGCAGGCCCTCTCTAGAGTACTCCAATGGGAGCCAGTGGGCAAAGGAGAAGTGGCATTTGCAGAGTCCAGTTCCAGCATCAGAGAGCAGAGCATAGAAAGGTAGGTTTGGAGTTAAGGGACAATGTCTTAATAAAGGGCAAAGGGGGTTATGACCATTATCATGTGAAGGAATCCCTTGACTGAAGGCACAAGCTTTCTGTGTCTTGCAACTTGAATGATGTGCATAAGCAGGGTCAGGTGGGTTATCTGACATTTTCCTTGAGAACAGGAGGGAACTTCTGGATTCCAGCACAAAAGAAAAATACCCACTCAACCCATATGTGTGGGAGCCATCCCTCTATAAAGAGAAAGTAATTCCTTTTGACATTTTGCTGTCTGTAGAAGGGTCAGATAGCCAAAGCTTCCAGCACATTGAAACACTTAACTTCAGACTGTGAGTGAAGGAACCCCTGAATACATGGAACATCATGATCTTGTGCAGGTACTGAAGGAGATCCGTCCAGAAAATAAGTAACTGCACACGGCACCAATGTCAAAACTCATTCCTCTCATGAAAAGTCCCTGCCCCCGTTGCTGTTTGTTTAAATAGGTGGGATGGAGGTAGGGGAATGGGGCCATCTTCTTTTTTTTTAAAATTTTTTTGCATAAAATCAGGATCCTGCACAACAGGGCCAACTTCATTAAAGCAATGCATCCCTAAGATATGAGACTATTTATCCTTCTCACAATTGTGCCAGCAGGTGGAATGAGGAAGAATGATGCAAATTAAGTTCCCACATCCAGCCAGGAAGGACTACATATCTGCTTTGAGTATTATCAATCTCTTTGAAACCTCAGTGGAGAGCAGTTCTCACAGTTGAGTGGACACAAGTCATCCATGGAACTTGTTAAAATGCAGATTCCTAGGTGCTGCCACCTAAGAGGCTGATTGGCTAGGCCAGGGGTGGAGTCCTATGATCTGCACCTCAGCGTGCATCTCAGGTGATTCTGCTGCAGGTGACATTTGGAAGACACTCTGAGGAGCCCTGCCAAACTGGGCAGTGGGTTCTTCCAATGTGTGTGGCATACCCTGGTGCTTTTCGCTGTCAGTCACTTGGGCATGTTGTGAGCACCATGTGACGATGCATAAAGTGCTGGAACAGAGCTCTGTCTGTGTCAAGATGTTCAAGCGGATGCCACAGGGTGAAATGAGAGCACAGGCATGTTGGGAGTTGAATCAGCTGCCTTCAGTCATGAGAACACACTTGTGACAGCTTCAATTCAGGAAAGAGTGACTCTGCAGGAAAAGCACTGGCCTGGGAGACCTGGATCTGGCCCAAATTCTGGTGCTCACTTGCTAAGTTTCCAGTGCCAGTTGCTGTGAATGTTGGTTCTGCCACTTACTGGTTGTGCAGCCCTGGGCATTTGACCAGCATAACATCAGTTATAAAATGAACACCATTCCTACCTCAGAGGACTGTGGTTAGGATGAAATAAAAGCATATATGTGGGGCTGTCTAGCCCAGTGCCTGGCACAAATTGGTGCTCAATGAATGGTAGTCACTATGGTGATGGTAATGTTGATGAATCTCCATAGGTCTCAGCTTCCTGATCTATAAAGTGGGTGGACTGACCTACATAAGTCAGAGTTTCCATCTAGCACTGTCATCCCATGGTTCTCTCCATCCCGTTTGCAGACGGACAGGATAAGCTTGATGTCTCCTCAGCCTTGAGACAGAAGTTGTCCAGTAGATGGTACTGAGCAAAAGTCTCTCCAGGAGAAGCCTTAAACTTTGCTTCTCCTGTAGCTGCTCAGTCTCTTATAAGTCACTCAGCTCAGCAGAAACTTTCTTAGCGAGTTGACAACCACAGATAACAGAGTCAGTTCTGTCGATTTTGATCATGCTGTGATCAAGTAGATGTTAGCTAACTGAAGATGCTTGCCAGGAGTGAACAGCTCCAGGCCCTGTTTTCAGGGTCTCTGTGGTAACTGTAATGCTTCCCAGGGGTCACTGAACACAGGGCCCAAGAGGCTGGTGTAGACCCCCAGATTGGCACCCTGCTGCTTAGACAAGATCCTTCTCAATAAGTAATGCTACGGCTTTGCTGTAGGTTCAGCCCAGACACTTCTCCCTAGGGCTGCAAGGAGCAAAGCGGGGAGTTTAGGGAAGGGAGGGCACGAACATAATTGAGACGGATTCAGGTTCAGATCCAAGCTCTGTTTTGTGCTAGCTCTGTATGATCACCAGTGAGTCATGTATCCTCGGCCTTTTATTTCCTCATCTGTGAAAATAGGGGATGATAAATGGTGTCTACCCTCCAGTGTTGATGTGAGAATTGAATAAACTAATGAATGTTTAGTACAGCACCTGGCTTTTAGTAGATGAGTCAGTGTTCATTTCTATTTTCTTTTTGTGGGCTGAATTAGAGAAAATGTTCTAAAACAGCCTGATGAGAAGAAAAGATAATTTAGCCCCACTAAATACACTGTCCACATAAAGACCAATTACTATGGCTCTTCTTGTACCTGGAACTTGGGTGCCTGGGCCATGTCAATTAGCAGTGCTCCTGTGGGCACACACTTGAGAGGCTCCTAGATAAAGACCTGCACTAGATCCAGGTGCTGGAGGCCTGGTGGGGTGCCCAGTGTGGGAGGTGGGAAACTACCTGGACACTGGGAGATGCTGCTCTGGGCAGTCAAAGCCCACATGAAGCGAAAGATTGATTTATGCTTCATCATAATGTAGAACAATGTTTCAATGACAAAGCGGATTTGTCTATCTCTTGGGCCAGGGCCGCTGGGATTGGTATCCTGACAGTGATCCTGGGAATCTTACTGCTCATCGGCTGTTGGTATTGTAGAAGACGAAATGGATACAGAGCCTTGATGGTTGGTATAGTTCCCACAGCTGAAATCCCTCCAGGTCCAGGGCCCTCTTTCCAGTTCTTTCCTCTGAGTCTCTGCAGAGTCAGATAATTGCCTCGTTACAACCTCTAGCTCTGATTCCACCTTCTGATGCCTCTTTTGCTACATTGTACTTTGGCAACTCTTCCTTTGCTTCTGCTCAGGCATGAACCCCAACCAGGAACTTGCCCTGTGCCTTAGTCTGTGACTATAACAGAATACCAGAGACTGCAATTTATAAATAAATGAAATTCATTTGGTTTACAGTTGTGGAGGCTGGGAACTCCAAGATCTAGGGGCCACACCTGGTGAGGCCTTCCTGCTGTGTCACATCATAGTGGAAGGCATCACATGGGCAAGAGAGTGACAGCAAGAGGGAGCTGAACTCATTTTTTTTTTTTTGAAACAGGAAATCTTGGGATGGAACACAGTGGTGATCATGAGTCACTGTAGCCTTGACCTCCTGGGCTCAAGCCATCCTCCTGTCTCAGCCTCCAGAGCAGCTGGGACCACAGGCATGTGCCACCACACCCGGCTAATTAAAAAAACTTTTTTTTTTTTTTTTTTTGTAGAGACGAGGTCCCACTATGTTGCCCAGGCTGGTCTCAAACTCCTGGGCTAAAGGGATCTTCCTGCCTCGGCCTCCCAAAATGTTGAGACTACAAGTGTGAAACACTCCACACACAGCCCAAACTCACTTTTATAACAAACCTACTTTTGCAATAACAAACACACTCCTGCAATAACATTAATCGATTCATGAGGACAGAGTCCTCATGACTTAATCACCTCTTAAAAGTCCTACCTCTCACCATTGTTCCACTGGGGATTAAATTTCCAATACATGAATTTTGGGGGACACATTCAAACTATAGCGCCTGTCTTTTTGGTTCTACTCACAGCAAACTTGGGTACCTGGATGTTGTGTACAGCTAAGCACTGACGGTTTATAGGGCACAGGGGAAGGGGGTTGAGGTTCCCTTATAGCAAACAGGAGTATTCTTACACACCTAAGGTTTTATCACTTCTGAGAATTCTTGCTGGTTCTGTTACTCCACTTTGTGACCTGGTCTTCCTACCTTGCTTCTTTACCCCTTTCCTCACTGGTTACCTGTGAATTCCAAATTCTTCTGACTCTACACTAAGCATCCCAGGATATCATCAGTGCAATGAGGAAACCATCCTCCCTGCATCAGCACAAAAGGTCACTGTGTGTTTTTTAACAGGCTGCATCCTTCTTAGATGGCCAAAGGTTTTAATAGTATTTTCTTTCTTTTTTACCCAAATATGCAGGAAGCGAACACAATTACACAATCCAGTCTTCTGGTACCAGTATCCTCCATGAATGGGGAACATCAACTGAGTTTATAAGCTATAAAAACTACAGATTTCAGCAATCTTGCTTCAAAGCTAGGTAGCACTTTAGCACTTCAACACCCAAAAGCATTCTCCATAGATCTCAATCTCTCTCTCTCTCTCGTTATTACAGATCTGAGAGCTTTTTCAGGTTGATGCAAAATGGAAAAAAATTATCTTTACAAAAGATGTTGGAAAGTCCCATTCCTCATTCAGCAAGCACTTCATTTAGAGGAAAAGGTCCTGTGAAAGAGAGGAGGGTTGGTGTGGGGTAGGGATTGAAGCTTGGCAAGCTGATGAGGAGAAGGTGAGAGATGCAACTCTGGATTCTTTCCCTCTTTGCCAAGAAACTTGGGCAGTCTCATGTCTCCTGTTCCCCAATGTCTGTCTTTCCAGAGCATAAATACAAATACAAACCATAAAAGGCAGGGCAAGTTTGGGGGCTGACACACCCACCGAGCATAGCCCTCTAGTGTGCTGACATTTAGAGGGAAGGAGGAGGAGGAGTTGATGAATCTGAACAAGACTCCAATATTGGAGGAAATACTTGAGGAAAGCCTTGGGTTAGAAAGTTAGGTATAGAATTCCTGCTCATATGGCTGTCCACAACAGGTTAGTAGGGGAGGACTTTAATCTCTGCCATATAATTCCATTTGTAACTCTAGCATGGGGTTATGACATTGCCTTGTAATTGGCTATTTACTGTTTGCCTCTTCTACCCTTCCACCTTCCCCATGTATGAACCAGAACAGAGAATATTTCTTACTCATCTTCATATCTCCAATGCCCAGCACAGTGCCTGGCACATAGTAGTCACTTAATTGTGTGGCATTAGGACTTGGTCCCATTGTCTGCCATTGAGTTGCTTGGAGACTAGAATGCAACTTCTCCAAGACTCACTAGCTCTATCGTACACCCACACACTTTGGAAATCTGTGATGTAACACAATGTATATCCATTTTTATTTAATACATATTTTCTTCTGTATTTTGATTTCATTATATATTTGTATATCAAAAACATGTTTAGTCTTTCAAGAACTAAAGCTATACAAACTCAGTATATTGGTACTCATTTCCTAACTAACTATAATTATTAGCTTGATCCTACTGAACACAAATGCAATAATTTTTCTTTTCTGCTTCAATGCTCTCATCTTAAACTCATTCAACTGAAAAATAACAGAGAGTCTTAATGTCATGTGCTCAGACACTGTGAACATTTTGCTTGGTAAGTTTCAAATTCAAACTCTATGCCTCCATTCCTCTAGGATTAGATCAGTGGTTTGTAGTTTCTGAGACTTTTTGAGAGGGAAACGTGTTTAAATTTCTTGGTTTATTTAATTTCCATATTTATTTTTAAAATTAATATTAAAATCTTATTTTGAGATTTTCATATATCTAGAAAAGCCAGTTTGGAGATCAGAAGTCTAAGTTTAGGCAAAATTATGTAAAATAGTATATTAAGTATTGCATTTAATTACATAATTACCTCCCTTTCTGTCTTCAGTGATTCTATTTTCATTTTAAAGTAAAGGGCTATAAATGACATTAAATATAAGCTTTGGGCATGTGAATTACTTCATCTTTAACAATCTTCATTAAGCTTGAAATGTCTACTTTTCAATTTCCATTTGACCACAGAATAGTAGAGAGGCTGGCTGGAATTTAGATCTCTTAAAATTTCTCCTTTGGTTAACAATTCCCCTGAGCCCTGGAAAACATCTTTTGAAAGGAAAGGCTGCTTTTTGTAGCAACCTGTTTCTGCAAGAGGAAGTGGGAAATGATTTGTAATAAACTGGACAGTGGTTTTTATATTAAGCAGTTTTACATCTTTACTTGGAAGTTCAAGACAAAATACTTTTGATTCTTGGAGAATTTCATAGCCCTTGCTCTCAGCTCAGTTTACACTCATGTGTCAAGGCACTGTGTTTCTCAATGCATGGTCAGTGGTCACCTGCACTGGAATACTTTGGGGTCCTTGCTAAAAGGCAGATTCTGGGATCATCTCTGGTGGTGGGATTCGGGAATCCGTATTTTAAAATGTACACCCAGTTTTAATGTAAATACAGAAAACTGGCAGTGAACTGGTAGAGTGGATCATACTCTTATCCTATGGTCAGTGAGAGGCTTTAAAAAAAAGAAAAAGAAAAATTGACAAGGGCAGTTTTATTTTTTTTCTTCCCAATCAGTACACCTTTTAAATCCTTTTCCAGTTTATTGCATTAGTTAGGACTTCCAGTATGATGTTGAAAAGGTGTGGTGAGACAGGACATCCTTGCCTTGTTCCTGATCTTAGCAGAAAAGCTTCAAGTATGATGTTAACTGTTAATTTTTTGTACCTAGATATTCTTCAACAAACTTGGGTAAGTTTCCCTCTATCCCTAATTTATTGAGAGTTTTAAATTATGAATGGGTGTTTGATTTTTCAAATGCTTTTTCTACATCTATTGATACAATCTTGCGAATTTCTTCTTTAGTCTATTGATGTATCAGAATAATTCATTTCTCTCTTCTTCTTCTTTTTTTTCTTTTTTTTGACATGGGGTCTCATTCTGTCCCCTAGGCTGGAGTGCAGTGGTGTAATCTCAGCTTACTGCAACCTTCACCTCCCAGGCTCAGGTGATCCTCCCATCCCAAACTTCTAAGTAGCCGGGACCACAGATGCAAGCCACCACCGCCTGGCTAAATTTTTTTGTATTTTCTGTAGAGATGGGGTTTCACCATATTGCCCAGGCTGGTCTCGAACTTCTGACCACAAGCGATCCACCTGCCTCGGCCTCCCAAAGTGCTGGGATTACAGGCGTGAGCCACCACACCTGGCCTGATTTCTCAATATTGAACCAGGTTTACATACCTGGGATAAATCCCACTTTGTCATGGTGTGTAATTCCTTTTATACATTTTTAGTTTAACTTGATAATATTTTGTTGAGATTTTTTGCATCTATATTCATGAGAGATATTGAGCTGTAGTTTTCTTGTTTTGCAATATCTGTCTGGTATTAGGGTAATGCTGGCCTCATAGCAATGAGTTACAAATTATTCCCTTTGCTTCAATCTTGTGAAAGAGGTTATAGAGGACTGGTATAATTTCTTTCTTAAATGTTTGGTGGAACTCACCACTGAACTCATCTGGGTCTGGTGCTTTCTGTTTTAGAAAGTTATTATTGATCAGTTTTTATAATAGATATAAATCTCTTCAGATGGTCTAGTTCTTGTGTGGATTTTGACAGATTGTGTCTTTCAAAGAACTGTTACATTCACCTACGTTTTCAGATTTGTGAGCATAGTTGTTCATAGTATATCTTGCTTATCCTTCTAATGTCCATTACTATTTCTGATAATAGCAGTTTGTGCCTTCTTTTTTCTTCTTAGCGTGGCTAAAGGCTTATCAATTTTATTGATCTTTTCCCAGAATCGGCATTTGGTTTCATTGATTTACTCTACTGACTTTCTTTTTTTTTCTAGAGACAGGGTCTCATTCTGTCACCCAGACTGGAGTGCAGTGGCAAAATCATAGCTCACTGTTACCTTGAACTCCTGGGCTCACGCAATCCTCCTGGCTCAGCCTCCTGAGTAGCTAGGACTACAGCTAGCTACCGTAGTAGCTAGGACTATAGCATGTGCCACCACATCTGACTAATTTTCTTTTTTTTTTTTTTAATTTGTAGAGACAGTCTCACTATGTTGCTCTGGTTGGTCTCAAACTCCTGGCTTCAAGCAGTCCTCCTGCCTTGTCCTCCCAAAGTGCTGGCATTATAGGCATGAGTCATTGTGCTCTGCTGATTTCTTGTTTCCAATTTCATGGATTTCTTCTCTAATTTTTATTTTTCTGCTTACTTTGGATTTAATTTGCTGTCCTCTTTATTTTCTTAAGGTGAAAGCTTAGATTGATTTTAGATCTTTCTCATTCTCTAATATACACATTCAATGTTATACATTTCCCTCTAAATACTGCTTGCACTGCCAAGCAGTATCCCACAAATTCTGACATCATATTTTAATTTCATTTAATTCAAAATATATTTAAATTTCTCCTGAGATTTCTCCTTTGACCCATGTGTTATATATAAGTGTGTTGTTTAATCTCCAAGTGTTTGGGAATTTTTCAGTTATCTTTCTGTATTGATTTCTACTTTAATTCTATTATAGTCTAAGTGCAAACATTGTATAATTTCTATTCTTTTAAATTTGTTAAGATGTGTTGTGTGGCCCAGAATTTGGTTTATCCTGGTGAATGTTCTGAGCTTGAAAAGAAAGTGTATTCTGTTGTCATTGGATGAAGTAGCCTATAGATGTCTATTATATCTAATCGAAGATTTTGTTGAGTTCCACTTTTATACATTGCTAGATTTGATTTGCTAATATTTTGTTCAGATTTTTTTGCATCTATATTTATGAGAGATAATGAATTGTAGTTTTCTTTTCTTGTAATATCTTTGTTTTTGATGTTAGGGTAATGCTAGCCTCACACAATGAGTTAGTCCTTACTGATTTTTAACCTGCTGGCTTTGTCTATTTCTGATAGAGAGATGTTGAAGCCTCCAACTATAACTCCAACTTCATAGTGGATGCAACTACTTTTTCTTGCAGTTCTATCAGTTTTTGTTTCATGTATTTTGATGCTGTGTTCTTAGGTACATGCATGTTAAGTGTTGTTATGTCTTCTTGGAGAATGAACACCTTTATCATTATGTAATATCCCTCTTTATTCCTGATGACTTTCCTTGAAATCTTCTCCTTCTGAAACTAATATAGGAACTCCTACTTTCTTTTCATTAGTGTTAGCATGGTATATCTTTCTCTATGCACTTACTTTTTTTTTTTTTTTGAGACAGAGTCTCGCTCTGTCACCTAGACTGGAATGCAGTGGTGTGATCTCGGCTCACTGCAACCTCCACTTCCTGGGTTCAAGTGATTCTCCTGCCTCAGCCTCCCAAGTAGCTGGGATTACAGGTGTGCGCCACCATGCCTGGCTAATTTTTGTATTTTTAGTAGAGATGGGGTTTCACCGTGTTGGCCAGGCTGGTCTCGAACTCCTGAGCTCAGGCCATCCGCCCGCCTCAGCCTCCCAAAGTGCTTGAGATTACAGGCGTGAGCCACCATGCCCAGTCCAGTTATACTTCTTTTGTTTTTTTTTTTTTGAGACAGAGTCTCGCTCTGTTGCCCAGGCTGGAGTGCAGTGGCGCGATCTTGGCTCACTGCAAGCTCCGCCTCCTGGGTTCATGCCATTCTCCTGACTCAGCCTCCTGAGTAACTGGGACTACAGGTACCTGCCATCACGCCTGGCTAATTATTTATATTTTTAATAGAGACGGGGTTTCACTGTGTTAGCCAGGATGGTCTCAATCTCCTGACCTCGTGATCCGCCCGTCTCGGCCTCCCAAAGTGCTGGGATTACAGGCATGAGCCATCATGCCCCGCCTTACACTTCTTTTTTACTTTTTTTCAGTGGTTTCCCTAGAGTTTGCAACAAACATTTACAACTAATTCAAGCCCACTTTCAAATAACACTATACCATTTCATAGGCATTATGAGCATCTTAAAATAAAATAATCCTAATTCCTTCCTCCTGTAAACTAAAAACAAAACCTACATCCTCCAACCAACTGAATGGACCCCCTCTTGGCCAAGGGGACCCCAGGGAAACCTGAAAAACTGAGTCTTGGCCATGATGGGAAGGGAGATGAGAGATGCCTCATTATACACCCTCCCTTTTAGAGTTTTAGTTACAACTGACTAGCATTAATTTTAAAATAGAGATTATAGGACTGACAGAATTAACTCTTTGTGGCAATATCAAATTAGGAACAAGACAATGCAAGGAAAGGGTTAAATCACGCCCTTCAAACCATAAAATGTTGTTTTTTAAAAAAATTAACCCTGTATAATGTGGTTTACTTTCCAAATTGACTCTGGTATAGCATCACGTGACAGACTGCAGACTCCCTTATCTTAAGCATTCCTTTATACTGACTTCAAGTCTTAAGACAGAGCTGAACTTTCAACCAACTGCCAACTAAAGAATCCCTAAAACTCACCTGTGACTTGTAAGCCTCTGCTTTGAGATGTCCTGCCTTTTCAGGCTGACCCAAAATATACCTTCTGTGTATTGATTTATGATTTTTACCTACAATTCCTGCCTTCCTGAAATGTATAAAACCAAATCATAACCCAACCACCTCAGGCACACTTTCTCAGGACCTCTTGAGACTGTTCTCCTGGCCATGGTCATTCATATTGGCACAGAATAAACCTCTTTAAAATATTTTGCAGTTTTTTTCTTTCTGTTAACATTCCTTTCCCTTGTATCATTGCTGTTATTCATTTCAAGTGTATATAAGCATACACAATTAAATACACTGTAGCTATTATTCATTTTTGAACAAACTATTATCTGTTAAATCAACTAAGATGAATATGTTGGGTACAGTGGTGCATGCCTGTAGTCTCAGCTACTCAGAGGCTTAGGCAGGAGGATTGCTTGAGTTTAGGAGTTTAAGACCAGCCTGGGCAGCTTAGCAAGATCATGTCTCCTAAAAAAAAAAAAAAAAAAAAAAAGAGAAAGAAAGAAAAAGGAAGTTTTGGGAGGCTGAGGCAGGAGAATTGCTTGAACCCAGGAGGCAGAGGTTGCAGTGAGCTGAGATCACGCCATTACACTCCAGCCTGGGCAACAGAGTGAGACGCTGTCTCAAAAAAAAAAAAAAGTTTTTATTTTACCTTCACTTATTCATTCTTGGATGTTCTTCCTTTATGTAGATACAAGGTTCTGACCTATGTTATTTTCTTTTTCTCTAAAGAACTTCAAATGTTTCTTGCAAGGCAGGTCTACTGGCAACGAATTCCCTCAATTTTTGTTTGACAAAGTCTTTATTTCTGCTTCACTACTGATGGATAATTTCATAAGAGTGTTCCTTTTGTAGATTCAGTCTTCTTATCCTTCCCTTCAGAAATATTCTTTGACCACCTATTGGGTCCCAGGCACTGCACTAGAGCTTTACCTCTAGTTAATTCCCACAACAATTTTGAGAGGTAGGTGGGTATTATCTTCCTAGATGCAAACTCAGAATTCAGAGAGGCAAAGTGATAAGACTGAAGGCACACAGCAAGTAAGTGGCAGAACCTAGATTAAAACTCATTCTTAAAACTTTGGCTTCCCTTCTCTTTTCTAAAATGGATTCAGTTACTTCTTCTTCCCACTCACCTTTATCAATTTACATTTCAGGATAAAAGTCTTCATGTTGGCACTCAATGCGCCTTAACAAGAAGATGCCCACAAGAAGGGTTTGATCATCAGGACAGCAAACTGTCTCTTCAAGAGAAAAATTGTGAACCTGTGGTAGGTTGAGATCCTTCATAAGGGTATTTTCATGAATGGCTGTTTTTAACTCAAGTGAATACAATGATTTCCATTTAAAAAGCAAGAACAATGTGAATGTACTCGTTGCCACTGAACTATATATACCTAAAAATGGTTAAAATGGCAACTTTTTTGTGTATTTTATGAGAATAAAAAATAAATAATAATAAAAACAAAAAACAAGGGAAGCACAGGGATTTTCTTAAATTGTGTTGTCACATACCCAGAGTTTCCAGGGTCAATAATGAGAGCCCTACATGTAAGATCCAAAGGAAGAACTTAGTCCTGGATACAATATTCTTTTATGTTTTTAGTCATACTTGCCTTTTTAATGGATGTAGATATATGCAGAGGGGAGGGATAAAGTACCTATTATTTATTGTATAGAGCTGTGCTGTCTGATGGCTTAGCCACTAGTCACGTGGTGCAACTGAACACTTATAGGAGTTTAAAATAAGATGTATTATAATACATACCATATTTCAAAGATATTAGTATGTGGAAAAGAAGATAAATGGTTCATTAATTATTTTTATATTGATTCATTTTGAAATAAATATTCTGATAATATTAGGTTAAATAAAACATTTTAAGATTAATTTTACATGTTTCTTTTTTTAAATGTAGCTACTAGAAATTTTAAAATTACATATGGCCGGACATGGTGGCTCACACCTGTAATCCCAGCACTTTGGGAGGCCGAGGTGGGTGGATCACCTGATCTCAGGAGTTCAAGACCAGCCTGGCAAACATGGTGAAATCCTGTCTCTACTAAAAATACAAAAATTAGCCAAGCGTGGTGGTGCACACCTGTAATCCTAGCTACTCTGGAGGCTGAGGCAGGAGAATCACTTGAACTCAGGAGGTGGAGGTTGCAGTGAACCGAGATAGTGCCACTGCACTACAGCCTGGGCAACAAGAGTGAAACTCCATCTCAAAAATAAATTAATAAAATAAAATTAAATTACGTACCATATTTCTATTGGACAGCACTAGTACATATACAACACAGTATAATGGTTGAGAGCACTGACTCTGGAGCCAGATTACTGTGTTTGATTCTTACCTCAACAACTTACTAGTTGTGTGACAATGGGCAAGCGAGTTAACCTCTCTGTGCTCTGGTTTCCCATTCTGTAACATGAAAACAATAAAAACACTCCCAGAATTGTTGTGAGCATTAAATGAAGCCCTGACACATTTATTCTGGATACAATATCCTCTTGTTTTATATTTGGTAGTGTCAATGTGCCTTTAGACACAATTACAAGGATCTCTGTGGTAAAGATGCAATGTATATAGTGTCGGTAAATAGCATTCAGTGATTTGTTTGTTAGGGCTTGAGATTTTTACTGTCATGGAAAATCCAGGTATAGCTAAGCTTTTGAGATTTTGGGAACCCCTTAACCCTATTTTTCTCTACTCTTGCCCCCAACAATCAGCATATAAACTTGTGAAATTTAACAATTACTTCACTGGGCAGAAATTATATGTGAACACTTAGAAATTTCAGTCCACAGGGAAACTATAAATATGTTAACTATTTTAACTTAACCCTTTCCTAGAAACATATACACTGTTACCAAGACCAAATTCTCCCTTTCTTGTTCTCACAGGTTCCCAATGCTCCACCTGCTTATGAGAAACTCTCTGCAGAACAGTCACCACCACCTTATTCACCTTAAGAGCCAGCAAGACACCTGAGACATGCTGAAATTATTTCTCTCACACTTTTGCTTGAATTTAATATAGACATTTAATGTTCTCCTTTGGAATGGTGTAGGAAAAATGCACGCCATCTCTAATGATAAGTCAGTGTTAAATTTTTAGTAGGTCAGCTAGCAGTACTAATCATGTGAGGAAACAATGAGAAATATTAAATTGGGAAAACTCCATCAATAAATGTTGCAATGCATGATACTATCTGTGCCAGAGGTAATGTTAGTAAATCCATGGTGTTATTTTCTGAGAGAGAGAATTCAAGTGGGTATTCCTGGGCCATCCCATTTCTCTTTACTTGAAATTTGGCTAACAACAAACTAGTCAGGTTTTGAAACCTTGACCAACATGAACTGTACACAGAATTGTTCCAGGTGAGTCTTTACTATGGGGTGCTCACAAAGGATACTTCTATAGGTTTAAGACAAAGAGCTGACTGGCCTATTTATCTGATCAAGAACATGTCAGCAATGTCTCTTTGTGCTCTAAAATTCTATTACACTATAATAATATATTGTAAAGATCCTACAGCTTTCTTTTTTTTTTGCGTAGTGGGAGGGAGTTTTGCTCTTGTTGCCCAGGCTGGAGTGCAATGGCACGATCTTGGCTCACCGTAACCTCCGCCTCCCAGGTTCAAGCAATTCTCCTGTCTTAGCCTCCCGAGTAGATGGGATTACAGGCATGCACCACCATGCCCGGCTAATTTTGTATTTTAAGTAGAGATGGGGTTTCTGCATGTTGGTCAGGCTGGTCTCAAACTCCTGACCTCAGGTGATCCGCCCACCTCAGCCTCCCAAAGTGCAGGGATTACAGACATGAGCCACCACACCTGGCCAGACCCTATATCATAGGTAAGACATATAATGCAGTCTAATTACATTTCACTTCAAGGCTCAATGCTATCCTAACTAATGACAAGCATTTTCTATTAAACCAGAAATTGGTAGAAGGATTTAAATAAGTAAAAGCTACTATGTACTGCCTTAAATGTACCTATGGCAATTTAGCTCTCTTGGGTTCCCAAATCCCTCTCACGAGAATGTGCAGAAGAAATCATAAAGGATCAGATATTCTGGAATGGTGTCATTATTTGCATAGCAACATTGCAATTTGTTTTCCTTTGGCCACATCAACATATCACCTACACTATTATTTATCTAATATTTATCTTTCAGGCAGCTCGTTTAAACTTCTTTTTGGCTTTAATTTCTATTGCCATACTAAGTGGAAAACCAGTATCATTTTCCATAGTAGAGGATAACTATAAAAATGAAGATAATGAAAGTAATTTTTTTTAAAATTATACTTTAAGTTCTAGGGTACATGTGCACAACGTGCAGGTTTGTTACATACATATACATGTGCCATGTTGGTGTGCTGCACCCATTAACTTTTGTATAAGGAGTAAGCAAAGGATCCAGTTTCAGCTTTCTACTTATGGCTAGCCAATTTTCCCAGCACCATTTATTAAATAGGGAATCCTTTCCCCATTTCTTGTTTTTGACAGGTTTGTCAAAGATCAGATGGCTGTAGATGTGTGGTATTATTTCTGAGGGCTCTGTTCCATTCCATTGGTCTGTATCTCTGTTTTGGTACCAGTACAATGCTGTTTTGGTTACTGTAGCCTTGTAGTATAGTTTGAAGTCAGGTAGCCTGAAGCCTCCAGCTTTGTTCTTTTGGCTTAGGATTGTCTTGGCAATGCGGGGTCTTTTTTGGTTCCATATGAACTTTAAAGCAGTTTTTTTCCAATTATGTGAAGAAAGTCATTGGTAGCTAAATGGGGATGGCATTGAATCTATAAATTACCTTGGGGAGTATGGCCATTTTCACAATATTGATTCTTCCTATCCATGAGCATGGTATATTCTTCCATTTGTTTGTGTTCTCTTTTATTTCACTGAGCAGTGGTTTGTAGTTCTCCTTGAAGAGATCCTTTACATCCCTTGTAAGTTGGATTCCTAAGTATTATATTCTCTTTGAAGCTATTGTGAATGGGAGTTCAGTCACGATTTGGCTCTCTGTTTGTCTGTTACTGGTGTATAAGAATGCTTGTGATTTTTGCACATTGATTTTGTATCCTGAGACTTTGCTGAAGTTGCTTATCAGCTTAAGGAGATTTTGGGCTGAGACGATGAGGTTTTCTAAATATACAATCATGACATCTGCAAACAGGGACAATTTGACTTCTTCTTTTCCTAACTGAATACCGTTTATTTCTCTCTCTTGCCTGATTGCCCTAGCCAGAACTTCCAATACTATGTTGAATAGGAGTGGTGAGAGAGGGCATCCCTGTCTTGTGCCAGTTTTCAAAGGGAATGCTTCCAGTTTTTGCCCATTCAGTATGATATTGGCTGTGGGTTTGTCGTAAATAGCTTTTATTATGTTGAGATACGTTCCATCAATACCGAATTTATTGAGAGTGTTTAGCATGAAGGGCTGTTGAATTTTGTCAAAGGCCTTTTCTGCATCTATTGAGATAATTATGTGCTTTTGTCTTTGGTTCTGTTTATATGCTGGATGATGTTTATTGATTTGCATATGTTGAACCAGCCTTGCATCCCAGGGATGAAGCCCACTTGATCATGGTGGATAAGCTTTTTGATGTGCTGCTTGATTTGGTTTGCCAGTATTTTATAGAGGATTTTTTGCATCGATGTTCATCAGGGATATTGGTCTAAAATTCTCTTTTTTTGTTGTATCTCTGTCAGGCTTTGGTATCAGGATGTTGTTGGCCTTGTAAAATGAGTTAGGGAGGATTCCCTCTTTTTCTATTGATTGAAATAGTTTCAGAAGGAATGGTACCAACTCCTCCTTGTACCTCTGGTAGAATTCGGCTGTGAATCTGTCTAGTCCTGGACTTTTTTTGGTTGGTAGGCTATTAATTATTGCCTCAATTTCAAAGCCTGCTATTGGTCTATTCAGGGATTCAGCTTCTTCCTGGTTTAGTCTTGGGAGAGTGTAAGTGTCCAGGAAATTATCCATTTCTTCTAGGTTTTCTAGTTTATTTGCATAGAGGTGTTTATAGTATTCTCTGATGGTAGTTTGTATTTCTGTGGGGTCAGTGGTGATATCCCCTTTATCATTTTGTATTGCATCTATTTGATTCTTCTCTCTTTTCTTCTTTATTAATCTTTCTAGCGGTCTATCAATTTTGTTGATCTTTTCAAAAAAACAGTTCCTGGATTCATTGATTTTTTGGAGGGTTTTTTGTGTCTCTATCTCCTTCAGTTCTGCTCTGATCTTAGTTATTTCTTGCCTTCTACTAGCTTTTGAATGTGTTTGCTCTTGCTTCTCTAGTTCTTTTAATTGTGATGTTAGAGTGTCAATTTTAGATCTTTCCTGCTTTCTCTTGTGGGCATTTAGTGCTATAAATTTCCCTCTACACACTGCTTTAAATGTGTCCCAGAGATTCTGGTATGTTGTATCTTTGTTCTCATTGGTTTCAAAGAACATCTTTATTTCTGCCTTCATTTCGTTATGTACCCAGTAGTCATTCAGGAGCAGGTTGTTCAGTTTCCATGTAGTTGAGTGGTTTTGATTGAGTTTCTTAGTCCTGGGTTCTAGTTTGATTTCACTGTGGTCTGAGAGACAGTTTGTTATAATTTCTGTTCTTGTACATTTGCTGAGTAGTGCTTTACTTCCAACTATGTGATCAATTTTGGAATAAGTGCGATGTGGTGCTGAGAAGAATGTATATTCTGTTGATTTGGGGTGGAGAGTTCTGTAGATGTCTATTAGGTCCGCTTGGTGCAGAGTTGAGTTCAATTCTTGGATATCCTTGTTAACTTTCTGTCTCGTTGATCTAATGTTGACAGTGGGGTGTTAAAGTCTCCCATTATTATTGTATAGGAGTCTAAGTCTCTTTGTAAGTCTCTAAGGACTTGCTTTATGAATCTGGGTGCTCCTGTATTTGGTGCATATATATTTAGGATAGTTAGCTCTTCCTGATGAATTGATCCGTTTACCATTATGTAATGGCCTTCTTTGTCTTTTTTGATCTTTGATGGTTTAAAGTCTGTTTTATCAGAGATTAGAATTGCAACCCCTGCTTTTTTTTGTTTTCCATTTGCTTGGTAGATCTTCCTCCATCTCTTTATTTTGAGCCTATGTGTGTCTCTGCATGTGAGATGGGTCTCCTGAATACAGCAAACTGATGGGTCTTAACTCTTTATCCAATTTGCCAGTCTGTGTCTTTTAATTGGACCATTTAGTCCATTTACATTTAAGGTTAATATTGTTACTTGTGAACTGGATCCTGTCATCATGATATTAGCTCATTATTTTGCTTGTTAGTTGATGCAGTTTCTTCCTAGCATCGATGGACTTTACATTTTGACATGTTTTTGCAATGGCTGGTACCTGTTTTTCCTTTCCATGTTTAGTGCTTCCTTCAGGATCTCTTGTAGGGCAGGCCTGGTGGTGACAAAATCTCTAAACATTTGTTTGTCTGTAAAGGATTTTATTTCTCCTTCACTTATGAAGCTTAGTTTGGCTGGATATGAAATTCTGGGTTGAAAATTCTTTTCTTTAAGAATGTTGAATATTGGCCCCCACTCTCTTCTGGCTTGTAGAGTTTCTGCCAAGAGATCTCCTGTTAGTCTGATGGGCTTCTCTTTGTGTGTAACCTGACCTTTCTCTCTGGCTGCCCTTAACATTTTTTCCTTCCTTTCAGCTTTGGTGAATCTGACAATTATGTGTCTTGGAGTTGCTCTTCTCGAGGAGTATCTTTGTGGCATTCTCTGTATTTCCTGAATTTGAACATTGGCCTGCCTTACTAGGTTGGGGAAGTTCTACTGGATGATATCCTGCAGAGTGTTTTCCACTTGGTTCCATTTTCCCCGTCACTTTCAGGCACGCCAATCAGACACAGATTTGGTCTTTTCACATAATCCCATATTTCTTGGAGGCTTTGTTCATTTCTTTTTACTCTTTTTTCTCTACACTTCTCTTCTTGCTTCATTTCATTCATTTGATCTTCAATCACTGATACTCTTTCTTCCAGCTGATTGAGTCAGTTACTGAAACTTGTGCATTTGTCATGTAGTTCTCATGTTATGGTATTCATTTCTATCAGTTCTTTTAAGGTCTTCTCTGCATTGATTATTCTAGTTATCCATTCATCCATTCTTTCTTCAAGGTTTTTAGTTTCTTTGCGCTGGTTACATAGTTCCTCTTTCAGCTCTGAGAAGTTTGATCAACCGAAGCCTTCTTCTCTCAACTCGTCAAAGTCATTCTCTGTCCAGCTTTGTTCCGTTGCTGGTGATGAGCTGTGTTCCTTTGGAGGGGAAGATGTGCTCTGATTTTTTGAATTTCCAGCTTTTCTGCACTGCTTTTTCCCTATCTTTGTGGTTTTATCTGCCTTTGGTCTTTGATGATGGTGATGTACTGATGGGGTTTTGGTGTGGGTGTCTGAGATGGCCAAATAGGAACAGCTCCAGCCTCCAGTTCCCAGTGTCAGCGACACAGAAGATGGGTGAATTCTGCATTTTCAACTGAGGTACCAGATTCATCTCACTGGGGCGTGTCGGACAGTTGGTGCTGGTCTGCGGGTGCAGCCCGACCAGTGAGAGCTGAAGCAGGGTGAGGCATCGCCTCACCTGGAAAGCGCAAGGGGGAAGGGAATTCCTTTTCCTAGCCAAAGGAAATTGAGACACACAACACGTGGAAAATCAGGTAACTCCCACCCTAATACTGCGCTTTACCAAGGGTCTTAGCAAACGGCACACCAGAAGATTATATCCCACACCTGGCCCAGAGGGTCCCACGCCCACGGAGCCTCCCTCATTGCTAGCACAGCAGTCTGAGATCTAACTGCAAGGTGGCAGCAAGGATGGGGGAGGGGCGCCCGCCATTGCTGAGGCTTAAGTAGGTAAACAAAGCCGCCAGGAAGCTTGAATTGGGTGGAGCCCACCACAGCTCAAGGAGGCTGGCCTGCCTCTATAGACTCCTCCTCTGGGGACAGGGCATAGCTAAACAAAAAGCAGCAGAAACCTCGGGAGAGGTAAATGCCCCTGTCTGACAGCTTTGAAGAGAGCAGTGGATTTCCCAGCACAGAGGTTGAGATCTGAGAACGGACAGAAAGTAATTTTTTTTAACCTAAGAAAATACTAACAGTCACAGAAGGCTATGAACCTGAGACCTGCTCTCTTTGTCAAACAGAGATTAACAAGGATCAGAGAAAAGATAAAGGCTGTCTTTGACATACTCAGAAGGCTTACAAGAGTTTTAAAGAAATTACTTTCTCACTATATGATTCATTGTTATTTAACGGTGAGTCAGTAAACCACCTAAAAATCATCTTGTGTCATCAGAAACACTAGTGTAACATAACTGTATCATTTTCTACTAAAGACAAAATTTCACCAAAGGGGAAAAAGAAAACACAGGATAAAGAGACATATTACACACATCGAAAAAAACAACATTTAACAAAATACTAAAATATTTCCCCACTCTTCTGATACTGTCAAGTCTTAACACTTAAAATAAGGCTTCCACCTCTCCCACTTCAAACAAATAAATGAATTCTAAACAAAGGAAACTTCATCAGGCATTTGGGTACCTCCTCCCCTCACCACGAGGTCTCTGTTGAATCTCAATCCTATACACTGAGGAGCCTGTGGCTTGAACCCTACATCCCTCCAAAACCCCCAGACTGTCACTCACTGAGGGTGCTCTCATTTCTCTGTGGAAAAGACTTTCTTCACAGAGTTCCTCGGACAGTCTCCCAGGTGATGGACACAGAGACTTGGGCTGATTCTGCCAGAAAGAAATTAGAAAAGTGAGATATTTTTGAAAGGAATAGAAGGTGCCAGATTCAGAAAGACTTACTCCCCACTTCACAGAGGCACCCACACCTCTGAAGATGACTCCTTGGATTGGAAACCAATTGCAGGGCAACCCTGGGAGCCATGTGTTAAGGATGGAAGGTCACATGATGCAAGAAGCCTGGGTTATTACATTATCACTGAGAGCTCCTTGCATATTCTGGTTATTAATCCCTTGTCAGATGGGTAGTTTGCCGCTATTTTCTCCCATTCTGTGGGTTGTCTCTTCACTTTGTTGATTGTTTCCTTTGCTGTGCAGAAGCTTCTTAACTTGATGTGAACCTATTTATTCATTTTGGCTTTGGATGCCTGTGCTTTGTAGGGTATTAATCAAGAAATCTTTGCCCACTCCAATGTCCTAGAGAGTTTCTCCAATGTTTTCTTTCAGCAGTTTCATAATTTGAAGTCTTAGATTTAAGTCTTTAATCCATTTTTACTTGATTTTTCTATATGGTAAGAGATAGGGGTCTTGTTTCATTCTTCTGCATATAGGTATCCAGTTTTTCCAGCACCATTTTTTTAAGAGACTGTCCTTTTCCCAATGTATGTTCTTGGCACCTTTGTTGAAATGAGCTCACTGTAATATATGGATTTGTTTCTGAGTTCTCTATTGTGTTTCATTGATCTATGTGTCTTTTTCTTTTTCTTTTTTTTTAATGCCAGTACCATGAGGTTTTGGTTACTGTAACTTTGTAGTATAATTTGAAGTCACATGATGTGATCTTTCCAGTTTTGTTCTTTTTGCTTAGGTTGGCAATTCTAGTTTTTTTTTTTTTTTTTGGAGACTGTCTCTCTCTGTTGCCCAGGCAGAGTGCAGTGGCACATTCTCAACTCACTGCAACCTCCACCTCCCAGGTTCAAGCTATTCTTGTGCCTCAGCCTCCCAAGTAACTGGGCTTACAGGTGTGTGCCCCCATGCCCAGCTAACTTTTGTATTTTTAGTAGAGATGGGGTTTCACTATGTTGGCCAGGCCAGTCTTGAACTCCTGACCTCAAGTGATCTGCCTACCTCAGCTTCCCAAAATGCTGGGATTACAGGCGTGAGCCACCATGCCCAGCTTCTAGGTCCTTTTGTGGGCTATTCTTTTGGCTATTCTGGGTCTTTGTGATTCTATATAAATTTTGGGATTATTTTTCTATTTCTATGAAGAATGTCATTGTTACTTTGATAGGGATTACATTGAATCTGCAGATTGCTTTGGGTAGCATGGACGTTTTAACAATAATTGAGTCTTCCAATCCGTAAACAATGGATATCTTTCTGTTTTTCTGTGTTCTCTTTGATTTCTGTCTTCAATGTTTTAGTTTTCATTGTAGAGATCTTTCACTTCTTAATTCCTAGGTATTTTATTTTACTTGTAGCTATTGTAAATGGGATTACTTTCTTGATTTCTTTTTCATGTTGTTCCCTGTTGGCATACAGAAATGATACTGATTTTTTTTTTTACGTTGATTTTGTACCCTGCAACTTTAATGAATTTATCAGTTTGAATAGTTTTTTCATGGAGTCTTTAGGTTTTTCTAAATGTAACATTGTATCATCAGCAAACAAGAATAATTTGGTCTTCTTTCTTCCTAATTTGAATGCCCTTTCTGTCTCTTGTCTGATTGGCTTAGGTAGGACTTCTACCATGTCATCAGTGAAGGAGACTCTACCCCTTCTAAGAACACTTGGATTATATGGAGGGGGAAACCGGCCTTGAAGAAAATTCATGAAATATTAAGACAGAGACCCTTCAGTATTCTCTAACAGCCTAGACTGACTTAACACAAATGAGGAGAGGAGCCTTCAGGGAAGGGAGATCCTCGTGACCTTTGCAGATAGATAGGATGAGGCTTCCCTGTTGCTGAAGGAAACCTGAACTCAGGAAAATGAATCTCACCCATAAACATGGTACAGGAGTCCTCTACTGCAGCGTGCCCTTCCTTTTTGCCCTGACATACCTGTGGGCTGAGAATGGGTAATGGCATGGCACTGCTTTGATCCCCTAAGCTTCCTGCAGGCCAGGGTAGGGACTAGAGTGACCAGAGCTCATGGCTGGTCTTCTTTGGCTGCAATAAGCATTTTCCACTTGCCCAAATTCATTGTACAAATAATAGTACTTTATTTGCATGGTGAGCAAAGTTAGAGAGCACTGTTTTATAGAACCTGGGGTTCCCCTTCCTGTCCAGCCCTCAGTGGTGGTGACTGATGCTTAAGACAAGGCTTAAGTCTCTATGCATTTCCCTGTGAGATTCTGATATGGTCTCTCTGATTGTTTTTATAGTAAACAGCAGGCATACTTTAAGGAGGAAAAAAGAGCTAGTCAAAAGATTTTCTGCCCAGGTTAAAGTCAGTGAAAATTTAGACTGATTATACAAATCAGTGAAGCCTTCAAGTTATCTCTGGTGAAGACCAGTCCTCTGAAGTTAAAATGTTAAGTTTAGCATTTAGTAAATATCTGGACAGGTTTACTTGTCACTTGAGAATATTGTAGGCCTTCTCAAAAAAAGAACAGAAGGGAGTCTCTAAACTTTCATTTCATGGTTCAACAGTTACTTGACGATGCATCGAAATCCCTCAATCTCAAGTAACCAGTGCCAAAAACATCTTCAAAGTGTCTCAGAAGAACTTTCAGAAGGAAATAATGGATCGTTTGGATGAAAACACTCATTTTTAGGAAAATCTAAAAGCGCTATCCCAAGAAGCTGTGAAATGGAATACAAAGTGTGAGAAACGAAGGAAAAAAATGCTTGACAACTTGAAAACATAAAGAAGTTGTAAATGATAAAGAGAGCCCTTTAAAATTGAAGGTGATATACTTGCCTGTCTTCTTTAGCAAAAATTACATGGGTGATGGCAACTTGAAATCAGACAAAGACAAATCAGAAAATTGAGAACTTCTAGGCTGTAAATCAAAAAACAATTTGAAGAAATACACTGATGCTGTTAAATGTTCCCTTAAAAAGGCTTGAAGAAGAAAAACAAGGACTATTAAAAAGAAAATCAAATGAATCACTTACAGTTCAAAGAAATGGTCTCTCATCTGAATAAGCATCTTTGTAGTCTGAAAATGTAGCTCATATGAAAACATCAGCTGTGTAACATCAGAAGCATGACGCCCACAGGAAGATGGCCTCGAGAAAGTCTTGGAAAGAAGCACTTTCTACTATCAAAACTTGATCATTTCCCAAGAGAAAAAATGTTCAAGAAAGTTGGATGGCAGCTTGGCACACTAACAGAAAGCTCACTGAGCTAAGAAAAGAAAATGATCACAACAGATAAAGTTGACTAAAGCAGTTTAAATTTCAGGTTTTCCCAAGTGGTTCCTGCTGTTCCATGTGCAGGCGATCCCATGCATCATGTCTGCAAGGAAGGGAGAGGTTAAAACTGTAAGGGCTTACACATTTGGGTCAGTAGGTTTGATTCAGGTTTACAGCAACCAACTCCTAACTATATACTGGAGGACACATGACCGTGTTTTCTTTACTTAATAATTTAATCTCTTTTTATTGTTTTTTCTTAGTTGATGCTACATTTACTTAAATTCAAGTTCGAAAGAATTACAATTCCTAAGATGGTGTTTTACAAATCTAGATGGTTTTAATACAATTCTTGACTATTAGACCATTCCATGAGACTCTCAGAATCAGGTCCATTTAAGTACTGTATTTAGGCTGAATTAAATAGTTCACTATTACGTAAACCATAATTGAATTTTGTATGATCATGGAGATAAATAAATCAATAAAGGTCATTTATATATGCTACGAGCTGTTACAAGAAATGTGAGTAACAGTATTTACCTCAATAAATTTAGGTTTAATAGAGAGAATTCCACCCAAACCCAACAAAAAAAGAATAATACCCTCCAACTAAATCTATTAGTATTTTTATTAGTTTAGCACTACATTCATAGATTTAGGGGAGGTAACACTTTGTTCATGATATTATTTGCTGTTTAAATATTTCTAAATTTTATGCAGTCAAAAATAAAGCTTTCCCTTAAAATACCTTCTTTATCCTTCTCAATTTCAACAGGTTGTCTCATCTCTAGCATTACTAGATACCTGATTATGCCAAATATCAGGTCTTCACACCACTTTTCTGGCCCACCTAATATCCTGACGGGTCTCCCTGTCTTTGGTAAAGTCAATGATGGCAGCTACTATTTAAGTATTTACTATGTGGTAGGCAATAGGCTAAGTACTTTAGGTAAATTATCTCATCTAACCTCATAGCAATCCTGCAAGGTAATTGTCCCCATCTTATGTTGGACTATTACTACCTTTGCTCAAAAGCTTCATACTTTCAGAATATTTTTCAGTCCTCTATCAGCTAGCTCAACCTATTTTTCTAATCATTCCCTATAGGTCCTCTTAACCTACAGCATTTCATTCAAATTCAACTGCTGTGTTCCCTACATGCTCTTTGTGCTTTTCTTAGACTCAGGCTTTGTGGGCCCAGTTGTAAACGTACTTGCAGTCAAAGCACAAATGCCACCTCTTACGTGAAACCTTCTCTGGAAACTCCCTGCTAAGTTCTTACAATAAGTTCTTTATTCCTCTAACTTATTATTTTATTATTTTTTGTATTGAGGACAGGATGGAATCCTACTCATCTGTATTGTTCCTGCAACATCTTCTACATTATATAGTTCTCAATAAGTGTGTAGAATACATTTACAACTTTGGTAGATGCCTTGAATTTGTTCAATAATTACTTTAAGAATGTTTTACATACATCATTCTTAAAGTAATTAAGATGATTACATACATCATTTGATTCTGTAATACTGCTTCATACGTTTTTAACTATGTTTCTCACATTCACATTTTCACTCCAAGTTATAAGAATGTTCTAAACTATGCCATACCCTTCAACTTTTCTAAGCATCAAACACCATGCTGTGGATAGTAAATGCTTGCAGAATAAATGTTTAAGAATAACTGGGGCAGATGATAGCATTATAGTAACAACAAGCCAATAAGCTCAGTTGATGGCAAAACTACTTCTGGAATGACTTCAAGTAAACTATCATTTCTAAGTTTTAGTAATTTTGGCTAACTAAAATCCCTATCAAATTTCTTAGATCTCTTTCAGAATATGCCAATTTCTCAAGCTTTTAATGTTAAAAAATTCTAAATTTAAGTTGACCTACTGGATCAAGCAAACATTTCCACTGATTTTAGTGTACATATTCTAGCTATCACTACTTTAATCATAAAACTATTTCAACTAATTAAATACACCAATAAAATTGGAGACTTGGGATGTGAGCAGGACTTCAGCTATTTAATATTACACGTGTGTGTATGTATGTGTATATATATGTGTATATAAATGTATATAAAACTAATCACAAAGGAAAAAACTTTTTGTGGGGGCAGGAAAAACCATAGGAAATGAGAGGAAAGGGAAGCGCTAATACACCAGAAGGAGGCAGGCTATTTCAGCATCTTTTAACTTAGTATTTTAGGTGATACAGAACACAGATATCTAAATGGCTTAATTCTATACTAAGTATAAAAACATGCCCCTCCAGTACCACAAATCTTTTCAGGTGGCACTGTTGTGACATTTCTTCCTTTTCATGTATGCCTTTATAGATGCCCTTTACAGAACTCTTAATAACACTAAACACAATGAATTCAGGAATTTAACTTTGTACTCTAGCCACGATCTCAGACATCCACATGATCTACAAAACTGGAGGAAAGGAATCTGGGTTTTTGAAGATATAAATCCATTAATCAAATTTCTAGTTTAAAAAATGGAGCATTAGTTTTAAAAAGTAAACTAGACCTTAAATAAGAGGTTATCTAGATTTGTCACTCACCTACTCAACAAATAGGCATTGAAAACAGTGTGCCAGATGCTGGCATGATGATGATGATTGATAAGTTCCTGAAATTAATTAATTTCAAACAAGTAATTACAGTTTTGAAGAAGTGCTATGTTGTTCTCAGTCTGAGTGACTGCACAATATAATAATGTTGGCTGAGGTATGACAAGGAGATGGAGTTTACATAACACGTAATAAGAACCTGTAATGGAACATTAGGTCAAAGAGGACATCTAGGAAGACCCTGAAGTGTCTTGAATTTTCTAGAAACTAAAAGAAAATTAAGAGTACGGTGAATAAGAGGGAGAATAGGTTGAAATGAAGCTGGAGAGGTAGGTGGGAACAGACTGAAGAGCTTTTTAAACTTTAAGTGGGGACTTCAGTATCACATCAGAAGTTCATCAGATCACACAGAGCTTTGAAGGTCATATTAGAATTTTGGATTTAGGGGTTAGAAGAGATTTAGTGGCTGGGCGCAGTGGCTCACACCTGTAATCCCAGCACTTTGGGAGGCCAAGGTGGGCAGATCACCTGAGGTCAGGAGTTTGAGACCAGCCTGACCAATATGGTGAAACTCCATCTCTACTAAAAATCCAAAAATTATCCAGGCTATGGCGGCACGCACCTGTAATCCCCAGTTACTCAGGAGGCTGAGGTGGGAGAATCGCTTGAATCCAGGAGGCAGAGGTTGCAGTGAGCTGAGATAGCAGCACTGCACTCCAGCCTGGACAAGAGAGAAGACCCTGTCTCAAAACAAAACAAAACAAAAAAAAAAGAGATTTAGTGGTTAATTAGTTTAGGTCCTTCACTGGGATTAAAGTTGGGCCATAGGTAATTCAGTAAATTAGTTTCTTAAAGTGGTTTAGAGAATTCTTCTGAGACAAAAGGCAAACAGTTTTGGGTCATTTAAAAAGCTGAGTAGGTAAATACATTCATTTATTGAACACCATCTATGTGCAATGCAATACACTTGAAACATCACCCACTTTCCAAGGGCTTTCTTAACTGACAGAAAAAGGGGGAGAGTGATTGAGTAGAGTATAAACATGACTAGGAAAAGTACTTAAGAGCATAAAGAGCCGTTTTTGAGAGCCGTTAGTGACTTTCTAGGAATATTTTCACTACCCTCTCCACTTTGATAACAAATACACTTTGATGTAGTCTCAAAGGAAATCTTTAGGCCTATGCTTCCATATCATTTTCAACACCCAACAATAACTTCATGTGATGAAGTTTAACGACATTATAAATGGAAGGATGAGTATACAATTCAGTAGCTCAAGATAATGGATATAAAGATCCAATAAAGCTAAAAGCTACCTTTTATTCAAAACAAGGCATATTCTCGGGTGCAATGGCTCATGCCTGTAACACCAGCATTTGGGAGGCCAAGGTAGGTGGATCTCTTGAGACCAGGAGTTCAAGACCAGCCTGGCAATATGGTGAAACCATCTCTACAAAAAATTAAAAAATTAGTCAGGCATGGTGGCCCATGCCCGTAGTCCCAGCTATTAGGCTAGTGAGAAAGTAACTGCGGTTTTTTGCCATTAGTGGCACTTTTTTTTTTTTGGCATTAGTGGCATTTTTTCCACTAATGGCAAAAAACCGCAATTACTTACACACCAACCTAATACTTGGGAGGCTGAGGTGGGAGGATGGCTTGAGCTCAGGAGGAGGAGGTTGCACTGAGCTGAGACTGCACCACTACACTCCAGGGTGGGCAACAAGTGAGTCAAAAAAAAAAAAAAAAGGAATTTTCTGAAATACTCACAAGATCTAAGTGAAAGTAGTATTTGTAAGCTGGAAAGCCAGTACAAATGCTAGCCCTAATTCAGATTTCCCAGCCTTAATTCTTTCTTGTAAAGGACTATCTTCAATTATATCCTGTATTCTTTCAATGGAACAAGAACACACGTTAAAAATGGTATTCAAACAAAGAAATACAGCAACTCAGTTTATTACATGCAGATTCTTCTGCATTGTTGCTAACAGTTCACTGGTCCAAAATTACTAAAATACTTAAAAAACTATACATTATGTAAACAAAACATAAATAAGACAGCATAGTTCTTTGTACATATATTTAGTACAGGTTGTTAGGGATTCTGGAGTATGTACAATTTTACATCATGGACTGCATTTTTCACAATGCATAAATATATATATATTTTTTACAGAAACAAAAATAAGATTTCACTAATGACACAGAATACCATATCATAGATATGCTGCAACAGTCCAAATTCAAGAAGAAACATGTCAATGTAAATGTGCAAAAGGCTAGCTTACTCTAAACTATTCAAACTTTGTTCACTTTATGTTCTACAAACAGGTAAATCCTGACTTTAAACACAGAATCTCGAAACCCTCCTCAGAACAGCAAGTGAAATGAAACAGATTTTTCCCTCCCCAAGAAAACAAAGCCTTGTTGCAAGCTAATGAAAAGATACATTAAAACACACACACACATACACACACACACACAACTATGTATAGTATGCTTTCAATAGTATAATAAACATTTAAAATTTTTATGGGAGTCAAAACAATGCCCCATTATTTAAAAACTGGCTCTTTTAGTCTAAATTCAAGATGCAGCTGTGTCAGGCTTCTCTAAGCCCGATGACTGAAAAGCAGGGAAGACAGACGCAGGATTTCGACTGGCAGATACAATCTGAGAGAGAGATGGAGAGAGTGAAGAAACCTTAGATGCTGGAGTGTTTATGGTATTCAAAATGGCTCCTTCTGGGCTAACCAACAATTTTTTGACAGGTGTGTCCAAATGAAACACTGAAGTGCTACTTGGCAGTGGAGGATTACTGGGGCAAATGGCAGAAACCAAAGATGTCTTAGCCAAAAGAGTAGCTGGAGGAGACTTAATTACTGAAGTCAGAGATACTGTTGGTACAGGAGGTGGAACAGGAACTTTAACAGTTGTGTTTATGATTTGTGGTGATGTATGTACTGTGGGTATAGAACTTGCATTCCCAAAAGAGTTTATAAATTTTGTAGGGCTTCTTAGAGGATGTTGTAGAGGTTGCCCACTTAAAGAATTATTTGACGCTAGTGTAATCTTCTGGGTAGAGTTATCTATTGGCGTAGACTGAATGCCTTGGCCGCTGTTAAGAACTAAGGGGGCTCCATATTTTGGATTAGTAGATATAAGGAGAACATGGCTGCCAGCTCCAAGACCTTGTGGTGGAACAATAAACCGGGTTCCGTTAATCATAATCTGAGTACCAGGTGCCAAAGGTGTACTGGTATTGATGACTATTTTTTGCTGAATACAAGGTTCACTGAACTGACTCCCGACTAAACTAGTTACATTAGATGGTGCTGAAGCCGTGTGAATGGTAGCGCCACCTGGAGCAGAACTGTAACTGGGGGTTTTTACTAAAGCTTGCTGGTTCAGCAGAGAAGCAAAATTGGAAATATTAACTATTTTACCTGGACTTGGTGAAAGGGATGACAATTCAGTTTGAGGTTTATTTGTGTTTACATTTGTTGGCACTGTAGTTGAAATCCCTGGTGACTGAAACTGGAGCGAAGTCCGAGATTGTCTTTTAGAAAGAGATATAGAACGTGTGGCTCCTGGTACTGTTGCTGAATGTGGAACTGTGTTTATTATTTTGGGGGATGTAGTCGCAGGTGCAGGTAAGGCAACCGTAACAGGAATTTGCAAAGCTGATGTTAAACATTTAGGAGACACTACTGGTTGTGTAGTTGAAATCAGAACAGATGATGCAAGGTGTCCTGTTTTCACAGTTGATATAGCCACAGTGTTTCCGAGACTTGATGAGCAAAGTCTATTTGACAAAATAGGCATAATTCTCGAAGAGGTATCATTTCCACTGACTAAAACAGGAGGTCGTGTCCCAGCTGAAGCAGAGGCTGAGGTCACTGAAAGGGAACCTAAAGATAAATTCGCTCCGGTAACTGAAAGCATGTTTACTGCTCTTGCTGCAGAAACCACTGATTCATTAACAGGGGTAATATTCTGACTCACAAAATTTGAGCTTACTGGAATTGAATTACCACTTGTTGACAATGGCAAAATATAGCCCTTGCTACTTTTGTCTTCTCCTTTTGGGGTTACATTTTGTAGTATGTTAATTGACGGTATAGCTGGCACAGTGCCTGAAGTATTTACAATTGCTTGACCTATGTTTAGTCCAATTTTCACATCTTTTATCTGAGACACAGCTGGTGATGAATTTATTTTTATAGGTGTGCCCACTGTAGATGGAATCAGTACTATCTGGGGTTGCTCTGGAGTCTTAACATATGCTTTATTCAATGGAGGAGGAAGAGTTTGTTTTAATGATTCTGCAACAAGAGTCGGGGTTGATGTACCACTGGGAACTGGGGCATTAATAAAAACTAATTTCTGGGCAGAAACACCTGTAGATGTCAGTGCAGGTGTCATATTAATTGCAGTTCCATTGCCAGAAGAAAGAATAGATGGAGCTGATACCAGCATAAGTTTCTGAACTGGAGTCCCACTGATTACATCTCCATTTGTTGTTGCTGTTGCTTCTGACCTTGTAACAGGGTAACTTTTTGTGATATAATCTACTTGTTGCTGTTTAGTTGGAGTATGAATAATATTTGCATTGTTTTGTCCAAAATTTGCTGCTGATATGCTAATTACACTTACGGAACTACTTGTTGTTGATGGTAGTAGAGTGCTAGAACAAACAGAGGACTTCAAGGGAGAAGAGGGCATGTGTGAAGTTTTATCTATCATGTGGCCCAAATCACCACTGCCAGTGGGGTAGCCTAATGTAAGTTTGAGATTTTTCCCCATAGATGGAGCCAAGCTAGCTGGAATGGAAACAGAAGCCGGTGTTTGGCTGAAAGGTGAAAGACTAGATGTAGTAGTTGTTCCAGCTACAGGTGAAAAAGCAGAGGAAGAAGTTGTTGATTTTGGCACCAGAAATGCCTGGAGCTGAGGAGCAAAAGTGAAAACTGAACTTGAAGTTACAGTATTGGGTGAATTTTGATCTGGGTTGGTCTGTACTTTTACAACTCCAGTGTTCCCACCTCGTGTCCTAACAAGAATTGACTGTGAATCTCTTATGCACACAGTTTTCAGCTCTTGCTTTGCTTCAGAAGAATCAGCAGTCTGTTGTGCAAAACAGTTGAAGGAACTACCAGGATTTGTAGACCCATTTAGTGTTGTTGTTGATAACAGAGGCTGACCTGTGGAGGAAATGGTGGGTGAAGCACTGGGCAAGGAGAATGTGGCTGCTGAAACTGCATTCTTGGTTTTTCCTGCCTCACTCTGGCTAGTCTTAACTGATGGTGTTAATAAGTTATTTACAGAGGTTACAGGCGACAAAGGCTGTGGTCTAGCACTAGTTACATTTGATAAAGGTGTAATCGTTTTGTTGAAAACTGTATTTGGTAGTTGGGTAGAAACAGTTCCTGGTGAGTTGACAAAAACTGATGCTAAAGAAGAATTTCTATTTGTTGTCTGTGTGAAAGATGAACAATGTTGTTCTGTACCTTTCTGTTGAAGTGGTGGTATTTCTTTTGCAA